AATTTCGCTCGGCACACCACCCCACATATCGGTCACCTCGTGAGCCAGGTCCGGATATTTTGATTGCTTATCTATTTCGGCTTTCACGAGGTTCTCGTCATACGGGATGGTAATATCGACCACAAATATCCTTGACTGTGCCCGGTCCATCAGCACAATATCAGGCTTATTCGCAAGAATAGTCCTGTCTGTGATGACGGCCCGGTCCCAGTACAGCCTGGCGCGGTCATTTTCGAGCACGGCTTCCGTCATGTACTTGTAATACAACAATTTCCGGTCCACGAGACCGTATTTCAGAGCGAGCTCCTGGTGTAGAATTCTGGCTACTAGATTGTCCCTGTGCAAGTACTCAGAGTTAGAAAGCGCCGAACAACCGGAGATGACATGCCTACGCGACTCACCGGGATTGCGACAAGCTCGACAGAATGCCGGTATCTAACCTGATCCTGTAATGCACAGACAAAACCCTCGGTTTCCCCCGAAGAGGTCGACGAAACCTAGCCAGTTGAGGGAGGTGACTGTATCTACGAAGGGCTCATGAAGAGCCCTGTAGTGCCTCCCGTGGAGCTCCTTCTCCTTCCATACGGTCTCCCGGTCGGAAATGCTAAGCACTGCTGGGTCCTGCCATTGCTCGTGGGCCAAGGATAGAGGGGTAAGCCCTTTATCACTAGAAATGACCTTATTATAGAATGGATCATCCCATCTCGTCAGAAAGTAATGACGGAGGTTGCACACTTCGCGATTATGCAAGGTGAGCGCGCTCAGAAAACCACGCCCACCATGCTTTCGCGGCAAGTACTTCCTCATTACCGACTATCTCGGATGATGCATCCTATGGGACGTCATGGTAGTGCGGACTTTTCTATCCAGGGCGTTAAGTTCGGTCTGAGTCCACCTGAGTATGCCAAAGATATATATGAGGACAGGCATGAGCCAACCGTTATATACATGTATCTTATTCACACCGGACAAAAGGCTATTACGCACTTTGGTCAAGCGTGCATAAAACACGTCGCAAACTGACTGTTTCATACCAGCCTCATCGATACCGATGTTCTGTGACATACCCAGGTATCGGTATGTTTCAGCCTCGGAAAGGGTCTTTAGGTTGACGGGCATAGATAAATCTATGCCCTCAGAGTTAGCAACCCTTCCCCTTTCAACATGAAGGGCTATGTCCCCAGCTCCATTCCAATAGAATTGCTAAATTCACAAGTGCTGTATAGCAATTCCATAAGATGGGAGCGACTGGAGGCAAATACCTTGAAGTCATCCATATAGAAAAGGTGGGTCACTTTTGTTCCTCCCTTAGCTCTGGAGCCCTCCAGTAAGGTACTGAGAGGGTTCAGAGAGGATTCTCGCCCAGATATCAGAGGATCGTACTCCACTGCCCCATGCATTTCTCGAGGATCAGTCTCTAAATGTATTGCTTCGAGTTCTGAGTACGCCCCGACATCCATTTTGAGCACCTGATTTAACTCCAGGTGACGAGTGATTCTCGCGCTCAAAATGGATGCCAGTGTCTTATATATGGTGGGTAGACACGTGATGGGAAGGTATTTGCTCGGATCTGTGGTATCCTGATCTTTAGGAACCAAATGAGTGATCCCAGTAGTGAAGAGGCTCGGGAGCGACTTCTGGTTAAGAGCCTCTTGGAACTGTCGGGCGAGCACAGCGTGACACACTACGAACCCCTTCAGCCAGTATAGATGCAGCCCGTCGAGCCCCGGACTTTTCCAGTTCGGGGCCCTACAGACCGCGTCAGCCACGTCTTCCGGCATAATGGTGACGGGGCCCATAGGCGTAACACTTGAACTCTGGCTTGCCACAACTTCCATCCAAGGGTAATCGGTGTGGTTTACAGGCTCTGACCACAGGCCACGCCAAAATGCGACAGTGTCAGCTGATCCGGTCCTGGGCCCGCTCCACATACCTCTGGTCGCTCCAATGATTTATAGAGCCTCTTCTGATCACTCTAGAAGAGACGATTCTGGTTGAACCGCCTTGACCTTCGGTGATCGAAGAGGTGAATCCGCTTCACCCCAAGCAGCAATCCTCTGCTTCAGGTCATCTATGCGCTCCGTTAGTTTCTGCGTGATATCCGGCTGGGACAAACTGATATTTGTCCCAGCAAACGCCATTCTAACGGTGCGCACAACCCTAGTGTATTAGACTGAGCGTGCTCAAAAAGGGCCCTTGCCTTTGCGATACGGTCCTCAATTCTTTTTCTCCAGGCTGGGATGGCGCTACTTCTTTGAGAATAGGGAAGTTTGGCGCCAATAATACGGCATACTGCTAGTGCGGCGCCAAAAAGAGTTGAGCCCGTCTCGCAAAGGTCCCGGCTGACTTCCAAATAGGTCACCAGCATTAGGTTAAGAGCCCGCACGATAGCCCGATTTCGCTTGCTAAGGGGTATGCGGGAATGTCGCGGTCGATTTTCGAGAGGCATGCTGCGCGTTTCCAGCATCGACTCTTCCAATATTCTCCTCATTTTGTCTAGTTTGTGGGAGTCTATTCCATCACCGTCTGAATTAGCCACAAATGGAATATTGACGGCAGCATCCACATATGCAGTTTGTTGCGCATCTAGTGGTGCCGCATTCCCAGCCGTAGCACTTCCATTCGATGAAGGAATAGCCTGATGTCGTAATCGTTCGTGTTCGGCGTCACCAAATATGTTGGAGCGCAGGATGTACCAAACTCGGTCTGCCAGGTTTTGATCAGTGACGGATAGAGATGGCTCCAGCTCTGCAAAAAAGCGATGCATCCGAGCCCGATACGCCAAAGTTTCTTCCCCCTTTTGCCCTAAAATACGCCCGCAGTGCGTTTGCGTTCATTAATTTTTACCAACGCATGCGACGTGCTCCACCAGCGGCGGGTGCCGCTTGCTGAGTCCGAGAAGACCCAGCCGACACCAAGCCTTCTGGTGGGGATGATGGATGCGGGTATCTGCTAGGTGGTCTTGCAACACCCCGCGCTCGGCTGGCGGCCCGCATGCTGTCGCGTCCAGCGCCAGCTCCAGACGCGCCCTGGCGAACTCCAGGCAGCGGCCCTTTGCGCACTATCTTTTTTTCCATCATCCATAATTTGGGCGTCCATTAACGGGAGACGCCCAGGCTCGGCACCGTATCGTGGACGGCCATAAACACAAACGGGCCATTGCACCCTGAATTCTGCCGAGGCACGGCGCTCACACCTCTCTAAAGGCGCTGACTGACTGCGTTGACGTAGCAGTTTTGTCACTCAACTGTTACGTCAGCGGGCGATGGGGTCGTCAATTCCCTACGCCATTTTATATTATTATTATTATCGGGGGGTATCTATATAGTTTTCTCATCTGGTTGGGATCTATAAATATATAATTATAAATGAAAATGAAAAGATAAATATACATAAATATCAATAAAATAAAATAAATACAAAAATACATAAATAAATAAAAGCCCAACCAGATGGAAGCTCTCGGCAGGGGAGACCAAACGGCCAAGGGTTAGGGGGAAAGGGAAAGAAACTGGCCGACGATGTGGGCAGTATCAAGGAGCACCGCCTTCTGCATTTGAGCCCGGAGCGGTCCGTCATGGAGTCCCAGTCGCCTCAGATGACCAGAGAGGCTAACTGGGATTATTATTATTATTATTGGGGTATCTACATAATTTTCTCACCTGATTGTGTTCTATAAATATATAATTATAAATTAAAATGAAAAGATAAATATACATAATATCAATAAAATAAATACAAAAACTACATAAATAAATAAGAACAAACCAGATGGGAGCCCTCGGCAGGGGAGACCAAACGGTCGAGGGTTAGGGGGAAAGGGAAAGAAACCGGCGGACGTCGCGGGCGGTATAGAGGAGCACCGCCTTCTGCATTTGAGCCCGGAGCGGTCCGTCACGGAGTACAGCTCGAGGACCCTCTTTAGCCATGTATGGGGCACCGAGTCGAATGCCTTTCTGTAATCTATCCAGGCGGCGGAGAAATTCCGACGGTTGCGTTTCACCACTTTGCCAATGACCGCGTCAATGAGGAGTGGTTCCTTAGTTCCACGACCACCGCCCCCGACATCCATTTTGAGCGCGTGCCATCACCTGATTTAGCTCCAGGTGACGAGTGATTCTCGCGCTCAAAATGGATGTCAGTGTCTTATATATGGTGGGTAGACACGTAATGGGGCGGTATTTGCTCGGGTCTGTGGTAACCTGGTCTTTAGGAACCAAATGAGTGATCCCAGTAGTGAAGAGGCTAGGGAGTGACTTCTGGTTGAGAGTCTCTTGAAACTGACGGACGAGCACAGCGTGACACACCATGAACCCCTTCAGCCAGTAGTGATGCAGTCCGTCAAGTCCCGGACTTTTCCAGTTCGGGGCTCTACGGACCGCCTCAGCTACGTCCTCCGGCGTTATGATGACCATGGACCCCGGGCGTAATACTCGCACACTGACTCGCCACAACTTCCGTCTATTGGCCGTCGCTGTGGTTTACGGACTCTAACCACAGGCCACGCAAAAATGCGACAGTGTTAGCCCGATCCGGTTCTGGGCGCGCTCCACATACCTCTGGTCGCTTCAATGATTTGTAGAGCCTCTTCTGATCACTCTGGAAGAGACGATTCTGGTTGAACCGCCTTGACCTCTCGGTAAATCGGCGAATCCGCTTCCCCCAAGCAGCAATCCTCTACTTCAGTTCATCTTGCGCTCCGTTAGTTTCTGCGTGATATCCGGCTGGGACAAACTGATATTTGTCCCAGCAAACACCATTCTACCGGTGTGCACAACCCTCGGTCTATTACTACCCGGCCTGAAGCTTGTCAGTCTGCCGATAAGGGCTCTTGCCTTTGCGATACGGTCCTCAATTCTTTTTCTCCAGGCTGGGATGGCGCTACTTTGTTTAGTAGCGCGTCCAGCCATGGGAAGTTTGGCGCCAATAATACGGCAAGCTGCCACTGCGGCGCCAAAAAGAACTGAGTCCGTCTCGCAAAGGTCCCGGCTGGCTTCCAATTAGGTTACCAGCATTGGGTTAAGAGCCCTCACGACAACCCGATTTCGCTTGCTTAGGGGTATGCGGGGAAGTCGCGGTCGACTTTCGAGAGGCATGCCGCGTGTTTCCAAAATCGCCTCTTCCAATATACTCCTCATTTGCTCTAGTTCGTGGGAGACCATTTCATCATCGTCTGAATCAACCACAACTGGAAGATCCACGGCGGCTTCTACGCGTGGCAGCTGGTCTGTCGCCTGAGGAGCCGCATCCCCAATAGTAGCCAATTCATTCGATGAGGGAATGGCCTCACGTCGTAGTCGTTCGAGCTCGGCATCATCAAATATTTTCGAGCGCATGATGTACCGAACTCGGTCTGCCAGGTTTTGTTCCGTGACGGGAATAGACGGATCCAGCTCAGAAAAAAAATGCATCCGAGCCCGATACGCTATCCCCGCAGTTTCTTCCCCTTTCGCCCTATAGTACGCCCGCAATGCGTTTGCGTTCATATCCCTTGTCCAACGCATGCGGCGCACTCCACCAGCGGCGGATACCGCTTGCCGAGTCCGAACATCAAGCCGTCTGTGGGGATGATGGATGCTGGGGGCAGCTAGGTGATCTTGCAGCTCCTCGCGCTCGGCTGGCGGCCCGCATACTGCCGCGTCCAGCGCCAGCTCCAGACGCGCCCCGGCGACCCCCAGTCAGCGGCCCTATACGCTTTCTAATCATATCCATCATCCATGCGGGGGCCCGGCGCCGTTTCATTGTATCATTGTACGGCCGTAAGCACAAACGGGACTTTGCACCCTGAGTACTGCCGAGGCACGGCGCTCACACCTCTTGGCAAGGCGCTGACTGACTGCACCGACGTAGTAGTTTTGTCACTTAACTGTTTCGTCAGCGGGCGATAGGGTCGTCACTTCCCTACGCCTTATTATTATTATTGTGGAGTATCTATATAGTTTTTTCAACTGGTTGGGATGTATAAATATATAATTATAAATGAAAATGAAAAGATAAATATACATAAATATCAATAAAATAAAATAAATACAAAAATACATAAATAAATAAAAGCCCAACCAGATGGAAGCCCTGGGCAGGGGAGACCAAAACGGCCAAGGGTTAGATGGAAAGGGAAAGAAACCGGCGGATGATGCGGGCAGTATCAAGGAGCACCGCCTTCTGCATTTGAGCCCGGAGCGGTCCGCCATGGAGTCCCAGTCGCCTCAGATAACCAGAGAGGCTAACTGGGATTAGCCCATTCGCAGAGACGACTACAGGAATAATTTCGCTCGGCAGACCACCCCACATGTCGGTCACCTCGTGAGCCAGGTCCAGATATTTTGATTGCTTATCTGTTTCGGCTTTCACGAGGTTCTCGTCATACGGGATGGTAATATCGACCAAAAATATCCTTGACTGTGCCCGGTCCATCAGCACAATATCAGGCTTATTCGCAAGAATAGTCCTGTCTGTGATGATGGTCCGGTCCCAGTAGAGCCTGGCGCGGTCATTTTCGAGCACGGCTTCCGGCAAGTACTTGTAATACGGCAATTTCCGTTCCACGAGACCGTACTTCAGAGCGAGCTCCTGGTGTAGAATTCCGGCTACTAGGTTGTGCCTGTGCAAGTACTCAGAGTTAGAAAGCGCCGAACAACCGGAGATGACATGCCTAAGTGACTCACCGGGATGGCGACAAGCTCGACAGACGTCGACGGTGCCATCCTTTAGGATGTATCTCCGATAGTTGTTGGTCTTAATAACCTGATCCTTTATTGCACAGACAAAACCCTCGGTTTCCCCCGAAGAGGTCACCGAAACGTAGCCAGTTGAGGGAGGCGACTGTATCTACGAAGGGCTCATGAAGAGCCCTGTAGTACCTCCCTTGGAGCTCCTCCTCCTTCCAGGTCTCCCGGTGGAAATGCTAAGCACGGGGTCCTGCCATTGCTCGTGGGCTAAGTATAGAGGAGTAAGCCCTTTATCACTAGAAATGACGTTATTATAGAATGGATCATTTATTTATTCTTTATTGTACACACAATAAGTTGGTAACAATTGTTAAATATTTAAATAAATGTACAAAGGCGAGCTTAACCCTAATAAGAGTTCTCTTCCAGCAAACCTATTGGGAAAGAGAAGAAGTTTTATATATAAAGCAAGTAGGTAGCAGCGTGCGTACTTAATAATTAACATAACGCTACTTAATAGAAATTGGCTATAAGTTACAGTTAACAATTAACATATAAGTGTATAACATATAAGGTATAATTTATTTTCTTATTTCTTTTATTCTTATTTCTATTAATTTACATACATATATACCAATAAAGATAATAAATATAAACATATATACACATATACACACACATATATATACATATATATATATATATATATATATATATCTCATCACACATACATATATATACAATTATACATATAAATACATAAAATATTTAAATATTTATAATTCTAAGTTGACAGATAATATTTCTTTACTCTTCTCCGAAATATATCAAGAGAAGAGCTAGCACGTATGTCATGTGGAAGTGAGTTCCATAACTTGACCGCCCTTACAGTAAAGGATCCACCACAACGGCTTGTGAAATGAAAAGGAGTTTTGAGAAGTAGTTGTTTAGTGGTCGGATCATCCGATGTCGCCAGGAAGTAATCACGGAGGCTGCACACTTTGCGATTATGCATGCTGAGCGCGCTCAGAAAACCACGCCCACTATGCTTTCGCGATAAGTACAGCCTCATTACCGACGATCTCGGATGATGCATCCTATGGGACGTCATGGTAGTGCGGACTTTTCTATCCAGGGCATTAAGTTCGGTCTGAGTCCACCTGAGTATGCCAAAGGTATATATGAGGACAGGCATGACCCAACCGTTATATGCGTGTGTCTTATTCACACCGTACAAAAGGCTGTTAAGCACTTTGGTCAAACGTGCATAAAACACGTCGCAGACTGACTGTTTCATACCAGCCTCATCGATACCGATGTTCTGTTACATACCCAGGTATCGGTATGTTTCAGCCTCGGAAAGGGTCTTTAAGTTGACGGGCATAGATAAATCTATGCCCTCAGAGTTAGCAACCCTTCCCCTTTCAACATGAAGGCCCCAGCTCCATTCCAATAGAATTGCTAAATTCACAAGTGATGTTTAGCAATTCCATAAGATGGGAGCGACTGGAGGCGAATACCTTGAAGTCATCCATATAGAAAAGGTGGGTCACTTTTGTTCCTCCCTTAGCTCTGGAGCCCTCCAGTAAGGTACTGAGAGGGTTCAGAGAGAGGCAGAACCAGATTGGACTCAGACAATCGCCCTGGAAGATACCCCTTCTTATCCTTATGTGGTTCTCCGCAGCCATCATCCGCTCGCCCAGATAACAAAGGATCGTACTCCACTGCCCCATGCATTGCTCGAGGAAGTCTCTAATTGTATAGTCAATCTTGTACAGCTCGAGGACCCTCTTTAGCCATGTATGGGGAACCGAGTCGAATGCCTTTCTGTAGTCTATTCAGGCGGCGGAGAAGTTCCGACGGTTGCGTTTCACCACGTTGCCAATGACCGCGTCAATGAGGAGTGGTTCCTTGGTTCCACGACCACCGCCCCGACATCCATTTTGAGCGCGTGACATCACCTGATTTAGCTCCAGGTGACGAGTGATTCTCGCGCTCAAAATGGATGTCAGTGTCTTATATATAGTGGGTAGACACGTGATGGGGCGGTATTTGCTCGATTCTGTGGTATCCTGGTATTTAGGAACAAAGTGAGTGATCCCAGTAGTGAAGAGGCTCGGGAGCGACTTCTGATCGAGAGCCTCTTGATACTATCGGGCGCACACTACGAACCCCTTCAGCCAGTAATGATGCAGCCCGTCAAGCCCTGGACTTTTCCAGTTCGGGGCCCTACGGACCGCCTCAGCCACGTCTTCAGGCGTTATGGTGACGGGGTCCATAGGCGTAACACTTGCACTCTGGCTCGCCACAACTTCCATCCAAGGGCCCTCGCTGTGGTTTACGGGCTCTGACCACAGGCCACGCCAAAATGCGACAGTGTCAGCCTGATCCGGTCCTGGGCCCGCTCCACATACCTCTGGTCGCTCCAATGATTTATAGAGCCTCTTCTGATCACTCTGGAAGAGACGATTCTGGTTGAACCGCCTTGACCTTCGCAAAGTGATCGTGACGCTTCACCCAAGCAGCGATTTTCTGCTTCAGGTCATCTATGCGCTCCGTTAGTTTCTGCGTGATATCAGGCTGGGACAAACTAATATTTGTCCCAGCAAACGCCATTCTAACGGTGCGCACAACTCTCGGTCTATTATTACCCGACCTGAAGCTTGTCAGTCTGCCGATAAGGGTCCTTGCCTTTGCGATACGGTCCTCGATTCTTTTTCTCCAGGCTGGGATGGCACTACCTTGTTGAGTAGCACGTCCAGCCATGGAAAGTTTGGCGCTATTAATACGGCATACTGCCAGTGCGGCGCCAAAAACAATTGAGTCCGTCTCGCAAAGGTCCCGACTGGCTTCCAAATAGGTCACCAGCATTGGGTTAAGAGCCCGCACGACAGCCCGGTTTCGCTTGCTAAGGGGTATGCGGGGAAGTCGCGGTCGATTTTCGAGAGGTATGCTGCGCGTTTCCAGCATCGACTCTTCCAATATGCTCCTCATTTTCTCTAGTTCGTGGGGGACTATTCCATCATCGTCTGAATCAACCACAAATGGAATATTGACGGCAGCGTCCATATTTGCAGTTTGCTGCGCAATTAGTGGCGCCGCATTCCCAGCCGTAGCATTTCCATCCGATGAGGGAACAGCCTCACGTCGTAGTCGTTCGAGTTCGGCGTCACCAAATATGCTGGAGCGCAGGATGTACCGAACTCGGTCTGCCAGGTTTTGCTCAGTGACGGATAGAGATGGCTCCAGCTCTGCAAAAAAGCGATGCATCCGAGCCCGATATGCAAAACATCCGGTTTCTTCCCCTTTTGCCCTAAAGTACGCTAGCAGTGCGTTTGGGTTCATTGTTTGTGACCAACGCTTGCGACGTGCTCCACCAGCGGCGGGTGCCGCTTGCTGAGTCCGAGAAGACCCAGCCGACACCAAGCCTTCTGGCGGGGATGATGGATGCGGAGGGCTCCTAGGTGATCGTACAGCTCCTCGCGCTCGGCTGACGGCCCGCATGCTGCCGCGTCCAGCGCCAGCTCCAGACATGCCCCGGCGACCCCCAGGCAGCGGCCCTATGCGCGTTTCTCTTTGTACCATCATCCATTTGTGGGCGCCAAATAACGGGAGACGCCCAGGCACCGTTACGTGGTTCGGTCATATGCACAAACGGACCTTTGCACCCACAATTTTGCCTAGGCACGGCGCTCACACCTCTTGGCAGGGCGCTGACTGAGTGCGCCGACGTAGTAGTTTTG